GATACCTTTATGGCCTCCTTGATTTTCTTTCCTTCAGACAGGCTGAGGTATTTCTAGATTTGTACTATTCTGTGTTAGTGTCAGTGCTCTACTATTGTGAGGTGTCTCCTTTTTGAATTGTAGGAAATTTCAGGCTGATCTAACAGATGATATAAATCAAAACCATCATGAACAAATATAATGCAAATAAATATTTGTAACATAACCTCAAAATAGAACGGTGACAGAGAACAGTAGAAAGCTATAAAAATCAAAGAGGCCATAAAGGCATCCTACAAGAATTGTAGGAACGACTGACGATACGACCGTTAGACCAGGGGATAGCGAACGCTGCCAGCTTTTTTGTGAATGGTTCACACAAACGTGTGAAGATTTTAATTTTCTGTCAAAACTCACATGGTCTGTCGGAGTATGGTCACTAATAATGGTATCATTAATCGCCGCAACACTCATTACTGGGCTCAACAAAATGTGCGGGCTAAAAAAGTTTCCAGGCATCAAGAACGTTTTGGGTTTAGTATGTTGTGTGGAATTCCAGTGACCAAAATATTGGGTCCACTTATTTACCACAACTGATTAACTGCACAACGGTACCTTCAATTGTTACAACATAATCTAGAAGACTGGATAATTTACCTTTGGTAAGTTAATAGCTGTTGGTTCCTTCACATAACTCTAGGCAAGTTCGAGATTATATTTCTCAGCGATTTGCCGCAAGGTGGATAGGAATCTCCAGTGAAGTGTCCTGACCAGCGCGTTCTCCGGATTTACCTACTCTCGACTTTTTTGAGGGGGTTTTATTAAAAACCAAGTTTATCAGCATACTTTTGAAACTGAGCAGTAGTTACGAGAATGAGTAATGGAAGCATTTAGTATGATTACACCACAAATGTGGTGTGATGTTTTGAATTCTATTGTTAGAAGATCATATTTATGTTTAGAAAATAATAGCAACTTATTTAAACACCTATGCTAAATAAAATAAAAATAACATTAAAAATGTATTCTGAATATCAGTAGATTATGGATCATTTTATAAAATTTTCCCCATCATATAATTATGTAATTGCATCTATCAGTAATCACATAATCCTACATCAAGCATTTGTTTGCAAAGCCTACTTAAATAAAATAGAAAAACAGACTTTTATTTATAACTAAGAAAACAAATGTAACGTGTGATACATCATTGAATTCGTAGAGAAAGGTGTCAGATATAGGGGGTACTTTTTTCGAACAATATAAAAAAATTAACTTGTTGATGGTTTCTCAAAATGTCGGGCACAAAATTCAAAAACACCATTATGTAGTGCCTAAAAAGTGCCAATGGAAAAGTTCCATTAGTTTTCGGATATATATATTAAAATAAAGTCTGAAAAAACAAAAACGATTTGGCCAAATTTTAGTTTTTAACTTAAGCTTTTAATTTTTTACAAATTTCTCAACGGCAACCAAATACGCTCCAAAGAACGCAGCTTTTCCTAATTTAACCTAAGCTGTTTCTCCCACAGGTATTGAGATTTCCATGGGATCCTTATCCTTATCCTAGATGACACCTTCAACATTTTGTTGAACTTTTGTATTTTTGAATACGATTGCCAAAGAAGAGATATCTAATCAATCAATCAATAATCAATCAATCAATAACCTTTATTTCCATACAGACAATATATAATTGTATTGGAATTGTCAATTTTTCGTTCGCTACGAACCTACAACTAATCTCAAATTGCTATGTTCAAAAATTCATCAACACGATAAAAGCACTTGTTTATCAAAAATTCCTTCAACAGGAACTTAAAGGCGTTAATATTTTTAACCGAGGTAATGTGGCATGGTAAATTATTAAAAAGAAGCGGACCAATTTTATTAGGTGATCGAAATGCCGCTTTTGATTTGCTAAAGTTTACATATAAATTATTACAAGTCCTTGTATCATAATTATGCATATCACAATTTCGCTTGAATTTTTCATTATTTTTAAAAACATGTAAGCACAATTCATATATATACAACGAAGGGACAGTTAAAATGTTGAAAGTTATAAAATATTTCTTGCAACTTTCTGTTGGTGAGATGCCTGCTAATGATCGGATGCATCTTTTTTGAGACACAAATACATCTTCAGAGCGCGTTGACCAACCCCAGAAACATACTCCATATCTTAATCTCGAATCCACATTAGCAAAATAAACTTGTATCAATTGTTCAGCTGTTAAGATGGTTTTTAATTGCCTCAACACATAGCTTTGAGAGTACATTTTTGATGTGAGAAATTCGCAGTGGGCCTTCCAATTTAAGTTCGAATCAAAATGAACTCCAAGAAATTTCACTTCTCCTCTAAAATCGAGTTGATCGTCACCCAATCTAACTTGAAACCCTTCTACAGTTTTTTGAGCGTGATGAAAACGAATAAGCGTTGTTTTGAAAGGATTCAAGTAAAGTGAGTACTGGTTAAACCATGTATTGATATTCCTAATTAAGTTGTTACATCTATCTTTCAAAATTATATTTGAATTACTTGATATTATCGCAGAAACGTCATCAGCATATGCTGTAAAATGGGTATCTGGATGAACACTATCAAACCGATTAATGTATAAGAGGAAAAAGATTGGTCCAAGAATAGAGCCCTGAGGGACTCCAATCGAAATGTCTAACGTACTTGACACAAAGTTTTTCATATTGTTCCCTGCATCAAGATATTCTAGTGAAACATATTGTTTTCTTTGGACTAAAAACGATCTGGCCCATTTAAGAGACTGACCGACAAAACCATATTTAACAACAATCTCCAAGAATTTGTTGTGATCAACGCAGTCGAATGCCCTACTGAGATCACAAAATACCCCAGTAGGGCACTCGCCCGCGTCGATGTATTCTATAAGCTTCTCATAAAAGGAATGTATGGCTGACATTGTGGTCTTACCATCTGTGAAACCATGCTGGTTTTGAGACAAAATATTGTTGTTCTTAAGATGTAGAAGAAGTCTATCCAAATAGGCATATTCAAACACTTTAGAAAATACAGACGGCACAGTGATTGCCCTGTAGTTTGTAATATCAAGCTCGTTCCCCTTTTTTAGAATTGGTATAACTTTGCCTAGTTTCAGCCTACTTGGGAACTCTCCGCAGCAAAATGAGATATTTATAAGGTGTGTTATTGGTTTTATTATAAGATGTAATGCTTCTTTTACCAGAAAATTGGGAATGTCATCAAAACCGCAAGATTTGGAATTTTTTAATTTTTTCAAAAGTAAGTTACTGAGCTCATTATCTGTATAAGGGTAAAGTTTGAAATAATTTTTGACATTAAATTTGAAATCAGCTGCACTATGTGAGGTATTAATTTGTTGTATTATATCATCTGGAGCATTTTTAAAAAAAAAATCATTGAACATATTTGCCAACAGCTGAGGGTCGTACACTTTTTCATTTTGATCTTTATGTAGAACTATATTTTTTCGAACTTTGTTCTCATTTTTAGTTGCATTGACCACTTGCCAGCACGCTTTGGTGGTATTTTTAGAGAATACAATTTTGTTTTGGTAGAATGATCTTTTTGCGTCTCTGATCAATTTTTTATGTGCCTTTTTAGCATCATTATACAGTGACTTTAGTCTTGGATTTATTTGTGAAGTATGATATAAATCTTTCAAATTATTGCTTGAATTTCTTACGTTATGTGTAACCCAACTTTTTGAGCCGTTTCCCTTACAGGCTTTATGTAAAGGGAAATGCTTATTAAAATAGTACAAAAAGATATTAAAAAAATTTCCAAACGACTCAGAAACTGTAAAGCTAGAGTAAACTGACAGCCAAGATTCGTTTAATAAAGATTCTTTACAGTCGCTAATTGCGTTTTGATGAAAACTTCTTTTGTTCAGGTAAATTTTGTCCGATTTCTTGGAGCAAAGATCGAAGTCCCCCAGAGTCGTTCTATGATCTGAAACTGTATTATCATAGACACAGGAAACGAACTGAGTAATGTTGGTAAAAACGTGGTCAATGCTCGTGGCCGAAGTATCTGTCACTCGGGTTGGCCAACCGCCTTTAAAAAACATAGAGAAAATATTACACAATTTCATAAAATTAATACATTTTGACTCATAACAATTAAAATTAAAATCGCCACATACAATCAATAAATAATGAGGATCGAAAACAGTATTTAAAATTTCTTCAATTTTTTCTAAAAATACGCCTACGTCACCATTAGGTGAACGGTAGCAATTTATTATCTTAATTTTTTTGTCTGAAATGGTACAAGATATTGAACAAACTTCAATGTCCAATTCAAAACAATATTTATTCAGATCTATTGGCTTGTATTGTAAATCTTTACGAATGTATATGGCAACACCACCTCTTTTCTGATTAGTTCGGGCATAAAAACTTGCTAATTCATAACCATCAATTTTATAGCTTACCATTGATTGACCATTAGTCCATGTTTCGTTAAAGCAATAAAATAACAAGTTTTTGAACATAGACATTTCAATCGATAGTTCATCAATTTTGTCAAACGTTATCCCATTTAGATTTAACAGAAGTAATTTAGGATCAAAGACTACTGGGTCGATTCGACTGTTTTTCTCCGAAAGAAAAAACGTTGTACATAACAACCTTGGGGCCACAGTTCTGGGTTCATTGCTGATTTAAAGTTATTTTCATAAACCGAAATTTTAAAGGAAGCGTAACGTTCCGGATATTTCGACTTTATGTTATTAACTAGAACTTCAGGAAAATGGGGTGTCAAATAGATTTTCATCGCTTCATCAGTTGTTGTGGGATCAAGCCTGGACACATGTAGAGTTGCCATCTTAGGAACAGCTGAAGGCACATTACTACTTGTTTGACTATATGTTCCAACTACTGGTCTTTTTCTTTTATGTGTCACACTCTTCCAGCCGCTGTCGCTATCACCGTTCTGGATTGGTTGACTAGCAGACATTGGACTGCTTAATACTCTTTGAGACTGGGCTTCATACGCTGGTCGTGAAACTTGCTGCGATGTTATAGTACTTGGGCAGTGATTAGTCGCTGACCGCTGAGGGTTAACAGATCTCTGCTGCCTGAAGTGATCAGCAGTGTTTAATTCGTCTGATGGTTTTCGAGTCGTCGTCTCGCTACTGCTGACTGAGGAAAAATTCACTGGGACGGATGATGATTGTGGTGGGAGACTGTGCGTTGGTACGGATACTGTAACCGCTCTGCCTACTGCAAGACTTCGCCCCCTTGTCTCTGCTAGTGGAGACAAACCGTCGGTAGAACCATTCTGGCATGACTGAGTGTATGACGTATTGTTATGATTCTGTATAACCTCACTATTATGCTGGGTTTGTAGAAGTGATATTATACGGTTCAAACTTTTGTTTGATTGTTGCAGTTCCCCAATAAGTCTGTTCTGCATTTTAACTTCACATCTAGCTACCCTTAGGTCACCATACTTATTTAAACAAGAAATATTACGGCATACCTCTTGTTCCGTCGATATGGAGTCGTGGAAAATTTCGTCATCTTGTTGCTCTTTCTCCAAAAATTTCACTACTTCATCACTCATTGTTGAAATCACATTTTCAGGTAACTTTTTATTAATTATATAATATATTAGATCTTTCTTTACGAGTTTTTGTAACTCGTTGACTAATTGTTGCTGCATCATGGATCTGTTGTTAGTTGATAGTAATATAGTATGATGATGTATGATTGTATACTTGTTTCACAAATTTCAATTATTTTAGGGTGTAATTGAAAAAATTTTTAGAAAGAGTTTCGAATTTAGAAAAATGCTTGGAATTAATATTGCAAATTTTCAGGCGTTCCTTTTAGAGACCACGGTTGAAATACATAATTTTAATTTATCTAATTGAATCTTGTTTCCAAGTATTGGGTCACTTTAGAGTCAGATAAATTTGATCATTACGGAGTAGAATATTAAAGTTTAAGTATGTTTTTCTAATTCAACAGTGATTTTGCAGGCGCGTCGGAATGATTTTGTGAATATACTGTGTTTGATGCGCAGATCATAATTTGTGGTTTATTTATTTGTATTTAATATAAAATAACATTCATTTATTACATAACGTTCCTCTAACTGTAATATTTATTTTGCAGGCCCATAATGCCTTGGTAGAAGTGTTACTGCAAAACAACAGGCTCGACCATGTCAGCCGCGTTATGGGATACCACCCATCCTACTTGGACCAATTTATAAAAATTCAAAATTTTATTTTGAGAGGGGACGGACCATTGCCATTCGTCTATAGGCACTATATTGCAATTATGGTAAGTGATTATTATCCACTTTAATACAATGGTGATGTTTCTAGAGCAGAAAGTACAAAATATATTTCTCGATATTAAACTTCACTAACGTTAGCGATTTTTGTTATTCCGGAACATCCATAAAATCCGTTTCTTCTTGGTGTAATCAAACATACGTTTTGGGATCAAAGTTTTTTTAAACTCCAACCTGTGTTTTTCAACATTTTGGACATTCTAATTACTTTGTGACTTAACAGTGTTCTGAGAAAGTACTGATAACACATTACAATTAGTAAAAAGTGGTGTCAAGTATGTTGACTCGGCACCTCCCATTAAACGCTCTCATCAATTTATAGCAGAAAAAAACTATAAAAATGCATCAGAAAGGATTTAAATAACCACTAATTTGAAACGATCTAAATTCTCCTCTGTCCTACCGACCATTCGACGTTGCGATGAGTAAGCTTCCCTTGCGGCCCGGGTTTATCTTCTGTTTTCGTGGCGATCGGCACAGTTCAGTCTTAAGAGCAAATGTACGGGGAAATGGATGAGGGGAATATGTCTAATAGATGCGTACAGTTACCGGGGTTAGCAGCGTATAAATATACTATATAAAAATGCCAAAAAATTGAGTTGTACTTTCTCCCGTGTCCTTCAACCCCTCACCCCGCACGGGTATCTTGTAAAAAACCTATTAGTTGTCATCTAGCAAACTAGGTAGTTTTAGGGCGCAAACAGTCATTCCAATTTGCTCACTAGGATCGTTGTGAACGTCCATCTATGGAGGAATCACTCAACTAAACTACATGCATTATTGGTTGCATATGTCTTGTGAGGCCGAGTCGTCCTTGTCTGTATTTTTTATCTCTATTAATTTGATCATATTAGCAAATTTCCCCGAAATAATTGTAAAGTCTGATTTTATCGGTGTAAGTTGTTCAAGGGGGCATTTAAAACATGGACGCATAAAATGGGTACACCAATTTTTGTTGAAAATTTTTTTTTTCGACAACAAAGAATGAGAAAACGTGTTTTTTGGGATTCAATCGAAAGTGTTGAGAGAAACGAAAAAACTTTTCATATAAGGTTCGTAGCTATTTATCAGACCTACAAAATGAGACCACACGTAATAAGATCCGACTAATAACAATAAATAATAATAAAAGTTATGGCGGAAAACCGAGGCAAATTGCAGGTTTTGGCACTTGTTGGTATTGCGACAATGGTTTCTCGCAGATACTTGAAAATCTTCAAATCCGTAGGATTCGTACTTCTAAGAACAACAAAATTGGAGTATATTGGTCAAGTAGTTTTTTGAGAATATCTAATTGTTTATTCCAAAACACCTGTTTTCTGGCCATCACTTCTAGTTTATTGAGCAATATACAGGGTGCGTTCAAAGAGCATTTAATAGCAAAATACACGTGTTTACCTTGCCGATATGAATCACAAACCATTCCGAAAGATAAATGTTATTTTTATGCGAAAAACAAAGGTTAGGTTTTTTTCTTCTAAACAAATTCAAACATTTCGTATTTGTGAGTAATTGAACAGATGCGCTACGAACACATACGTTACTATACACATTTTAAAACAAATCGGCTGTGTCTTATCATCTTTTATTGCGAATTACTCACAAATACGAAATGCCCTTTGAACTAACCCTGTACATAACTACTAGTGATGGACGGAAATCATGTGTTTTGAAATAATAATACTAATAATAATAATAAAAATAATAATGTTTATTGGTCCAATTACAAAGTTTTCGTATAAATAACAGCAATGTCCAATAAACATAATATACCCAAAAAAGTGTACACTTGTGCTTGGGTTTTAACCGAAGTTAAGTTATATTAATACAACAAATTTTCTTTGTATACTAGTCAAATGTATAAATTTGCATCATTTTATGATCAAATAACATATAGGTTTTTAGTGTTAACAAACTTATGGATTTGTAGCCTTAATTGATTTAGGATCCATGATTTTGATTCAATTTTTAAACGTTTTATTATTTATTATTATATTCCTTTTATTATTAGCATTACTTGCTTAACTTTTAGCGATATTTTTTATTGTTTTCAAAAAGGGTCAATTTATTCTGATGAATAAAAAAGAATTCAAGAAAATTTTTTTTTAAAAATTAAAATTTACGGGATTTACGTATAAAATTCTCTTTGGCATAAATTTTAGGTTATGAACAAGATATCGAGATGCGGTTGTTTAGACATCATTTAGTTACTTTTTCATAAATAAAATCATACCATTGCTTATAATTTGTTTGCGAAAATTAAACATGTCTGTCGGAATGTTGAAAAAAGCCCTTAAGCTGCCTAATGGGAAACTAACAAAACTGCAAATTTTTGACCTTGCCCAGGTTTGTTAAAAATGGCTCAGCCGTTTTGAAGATACAGCGTGTTCTTTATGGAAACCTTTGAGTACCACCCACCATTTTATTTTTAGACATATAGCAAAAATCGCCAAACAAACAAAGCTCAGATTATCCTCGACTTTAAAGATCAGGTACTTTTTTGTTAGGCTAGTACAGCGGAATTAACAGATACATCACTGTTTTAGATTCCAGATTGTAGTTACACCCCTAGCCCTCTTGGCCGTTTTAGTAATACCTTTTTATGCCGTAACCCTCTACGATGGATATGTTCCCAGATACAGTATCTCGCATTCTCTCAAACAATATTAGTCTTTATTTATAATAACATTACATTATAAAAGGGCGAAGTTTAGCTCAAGTAGCTATTCTTCCACTTGACCCAAATATCAGAAAAAAATATATAATAGTAAAATTATGTGAATACACTCATTGATGCAGAAGATGATCTTTCAAATAATATTTAATCTATTTAAAGACAATGGCTGTATGCTTTCTGGAATCGAATTGTACAGTGTAACTGCGTTAAATGTGAAAGATCGGTTTAATAAAGCCGTCTTGTGGTGTGGCATGGTGAATAAATGCGATCTGATAACTTTTTTGGATGAAATTATATTTAAACGAGGTATACGTTTATTTTTTAAAGATAATGGCTTTTTATTTATATTCAATTTTATGTACAAGAGTGGCTTAAAGATATTGGAAAAGCCTAACGACGTTTAACCAGCCCATACTAACAAAACATGTCTGATTTTCGAAAATTTTGACGATCAACCAGTAGGCGTGGGAAGTAAAAACATATCTCATTTTCGAAAGTTTCTACGATTACACCAATTAACGTGAGAAATAAAAGTGGTCCAAAATTCAAATTCCGTTGAAAACCTTAATAGATGTCACTAAAAATGAATATCTGTATGATATTTTCTTTTAAATATTCTATACTTCCTTTTGTCGTCCATATTATGTTCCTGTATAATTGAATTATTGTTGTTTATAAAATCTAAATAATGAGTTTACAACTAAGAAACGGGTTCTTAAAGATGGGGGGGGTATAGTAATCTCATGCACCAAAAATATTGTTTTGATCGGCAAACAATTCAAGGGGTTCGTGTTAAGGTGAGCGGCGAAACGGTTATGGTGTAAAAGCTAGACGATGAAAATTCAAAGAACAACAAAACTGAAATATTTGTTTACACTGCTTTCAAGTTTCAAATAACTGTTGCGAAATCAAATCTCTGATAAATATTGACTGGTTCATTTCAAAATCGGTGCACCCATTTCTCAAATTACGCGGTTAGAACGTCAACAGGCCGACGGGCAAGCCGAGGAAAATGATGACAGGGATTTTCGAAATATAGACGCTCCTCCGTATGAAACATAAAAATGCTTGTTATCAGAAATACGATAATTTTTCCTCTCACAATTCTTCCCTTGCTTATGTTTTGGTAAGTAAATATTTTATAGGCAATGGAAGTATAAAGAATATCAACTGAGTCCTAAAGTAATTGTTATTAGCCTAAAAGGTTGTTTTTATTCTCAATCTTTTGCCTGCAATTTTTTTTAATTCAAAATTGATGAGTCTTAGCTTGCACTATGCAACTATGGATAGAAATGCACTAAATGCGCTCCTGCTTAATATCGCATGAGCAAGGTCAAGTTCATCAGCATAAAAAAACAAAGCAGTTGGATATACAGAATTGGCATCAATGCAAGCATTAATTTTTACAATGTGTTTATTTGGCGTGTTCCAAACTACTTAAAACTAACTTGTGATTCATTGCAGATATTCATGTTCACGTGTGTTTTCTTCAGTTGAGTTTACGAGACAGATACCAAAGTATTTGGTATAATGGCTTTATTATGCATCAATATTACTGATAGACAGGACTCGCGTGTAGTAAAAATAATTTTAATTGACTTTGAGTAATTTATTATGATGAGCCTTTGTTTAAGCCACTCATCTGCCTTGTTTAAGGTATTTTGTAAAAGTTTTTTATGTCATTTTCAAGACAGATTGTAATGAAACTGGAGTTCCAAAAAATATTGATATATTGTTACGACACACTTATACCCTTTCCTTTTTATTTTCTCTTCTATTTTTCCTTTGACTTTGTAGATTTTCTGGATGACCAGACCGGTAGACTGACAAACGTTCTAATGACTAGAGACTATTTACATATTTGATAAGAATCAACTAATCGAGGACGACTTCTAATGGAAGCTTTGTACCGTGGCACAAAATCAATATTTTTATCAATAGTATTTACTTTTTTGAAGGATTTATTGCAAACACATTCTCACTTATTTGTATCTTCCTACTGCTGCAGATAAAATACGATTTACGCTATTACAGACTTGTGGATTGATGAACACTTATTGGAGACGGTGTCAATACTTTTTTTTTTATTTCGCAATACTACAAATAAAAAATGAAAATCCAATAAGCACATGTCTCCTAAAATCCAGAATGTGGAAGTTGTTAATAAATACTTTATAAACTCAGTACCGACTAATCTTCATTCTTTCGTGAAATATTAGACAGAGTTGAAGAAACAAGTGAGATATAACGCAGGTTACGATGGTATTACCACGAGTATATATATATAAAGAGAATATGATCATGCGGAGA